CACACCACAAGGTGGAACAGGGTGTTTTCTGTTTGAGAGAAGAACTCAGCCTAAATATGCAGGATTTGAGTGTTAAACATGTGTGAATTACAACAAAAAACAAAACAAAAACAAAACAAAACACCGCTCCAGGCATGTTTTTAATGAGGAAACAACAGTATAGCATAACATCAGAAAATAGTATAATATGCATCCTTAAAATATGCATTGTTTAATAGTTTTTACTTATAGATAACTTTTGTGAGAAATATTTTAGCCCTTGAATCATACACAATATAATTCTATCAACCAGTGGGAGGATGTGCCCTATAGGCCGGGGGGGCCACATATCTAAACACAGACAAAGCAGAGGGCTGATCGAGGGCCATAGACTGGTGCTCAGTACAGTGAATAATTGAAATATATGCATGTTTAACACGTTAGAATGAGCCATCAGTCCTATATTTATGCTAAGATCCTTAAAACCAAACACAAAATATTAAATATGAGCTTTATCAAGCTAGATTTTCAAAAAACTTGCAGTAAAAAGTAAATTTTTCATTGATGCAAGGTAATTTGGGCCAATTCTCCTGTAAGCCTGAGGGTCACGAAAAATTTGTCTGAGGGCCACATTTGGCCCACAGGCCATAGTTTGGACATGCCTGCTATAGGCTTATTATGCTTGTTTTTTTATGTTTTATTTTTTACAATGTGACAATGCTGTTTCCTCATCACAAACGTACTTGGAGATGTATTTTACTTAATTCAGTTGTTAGTTATTTAGTTATATTGAATATTGTTATGTAATAGATCACAACATGTGCATATTTTGAGCCTATAGTAAAATGAGAAAATTAGTTCCAGAAAGATTTAGATTTGTAGTTGACAGTAGTTGCAGTAGCTTGAAAACTGGCATCATAATTGTAACATTTTGCCACAAAAGATGTGAGTACTTCATCTACCTCTGCTGACAGGGTTAAAGTTCACAGGTCAAAAGTCGCTGGAAGCTTATAGGATCATGATGGTGCTGAATGCTGTGTCTTTACTTTGATGAGACTGACCCCCAATGTCTCTCCATAGCCTCTGACCCAAGTGAAACATACCTGACTAATGGGGAGTGGTGGTTTTGCAGGGGAGGAACGTGGATTACTTAAAGGATACACAAACCAGCTCTTTCAGACCCTGCTTCCTTGTGCACTTCCTCCTAACCTTCAGTTATCCTCCCTATGGCCTCCTCAGCCATCTCCCCTGCAGTCCATTCCTGTCCAAAAGCCCCAGAGCCACCAGTATTTACTCTACAGAATGAGAGAGCGAGAGGGAGAGAGGGCAAGAGAAAAGGGACAATGCAGCCTTTGAGAGTCTGTCCACCCCACGGCACAGTGAGGAAGTCCGCATGGGGGCAAGCCAACACCCCTTCCCCAAACTTCACAGCCACCCGCCACTGAACAGTCACACAGCACACAGGCAACTGGCCATCCTTCACGTACCATCGATCCAACTGCATTTTTTAGGTCAAGCTATACTGTACAGTCCAACATTTCTGTATTTGTGTTCTTCTATTGGTAACAGTTAAGGTGGAAGTGTCTGGGGAGAGGGAGGCGTGAACATCAAGGCTCATATGCAGCAATATTTTATTCCGTTGCATCACATTAGGGGGTATGCAAATTATTATCAAAAGTTTCAGAGGGCATTTGAGTATAACAAGTTTGAGAACCACTAGTGAAATGTATTGCATGATTTGAATGTTAGAACTATTTCTGATTTGAGAACATTACTCAAAATTGCTGCTCGTAGCCTAGTACAATCACAATTACAGATGCTATACTTAAAGGTCTTATAGTACACAAAATTGAGTCTTGTGAGCTTTAAACCATGTTATTATGTTTTTTCCTTCTCAAAAAACATACCTGGAGCTGTGTTTTCTTTCATTCACACATGTTTGAGTAATCCTTTATTATTAGATTGTCTGTATCTCCAAAACTGAAAATGCTCCTTTCCACCTTGTGATGTCACGAAGTGGTAGTTTTCAAGTTAATATTACCTTTTATCTTCAGTTCAGTAGAGACTGGAAAGGGCTGAAATCATCCAAATGATTCTAGTGAAGTTGTATGGAGTTTAAAAATACAGTGGAGCACTTCCTGTATAACCATTTGACATCACGAGGTGGAACAGAGTGTTTTCTGTTTGAGAGAAGAACTCAGCCTAAATATGTTGGGTTTGTGTGTTAAATCTGTGTGAATGAAACAAAAGACAACTCCAGATATGTTTGTGATGAGGAAATAACATTGTAACAGATCAGACAATAGAGCTAAATGGACCCATTAAGCTGTATGAGGTCAACTTCTGAGAACTGTGACACCGCTAAACCGTCAGTATTCTGCTTGTGTTCTTACGTATTAGCAATAGACAAAAATGCTCAAATATGTGTTCAAAATAATTAGATTCATAATAGTTGAATAAAAAAAAGTCCCCAAAGTAGAATTATCTAGTTACCTCTCACCTCTGGCTCTGATTGCGTCTCCTGACTCAAACCACAAAGCTCAAACTCTTGGCAGTGTGCGTGTGGTAGGAATTACAGTAAGTCAAACAGACCCACCCAGTTCAGAGGAATTGAGTGAACCAAGGAGAAATGTGCAAGCAACCACAGCTTATAACAAACCAGGATCAGGTCCGCTCTGATCCCTGCTTGTTCATTTGCACTGCTAATGACACTGTTTGGCCTCATAACAAACTCCACAAAATCATTACAGCCACAAACACTTATAGTTCTCCTTCATCATCCCATTTGGCCTTAGTCTAATCAGAGACGTGCTGTAATGTGGGGTCGCTAATCAGTTAGTGGATGACAAGATGTGGGGTCTTTCTTTCACAGAAGTGAAAATATTGTATTGTGAAGAATAGGGACAGAGAATACTTACTACAGAAAATAGCACGGATGGACAAAATCTCATGCCACAAGATTATTATTATTTTTTATATATATATAAAAAATCACTGAATTATGAAACAATCTTTACAAAGTGGGTAAGATTATAATTACATATATTAATCTTGGCTTAACTAAAAAAATGTTAATCGTTAGCTGGACTCTATACACTAAAACACATGCCAAAAGAGTGGAATCAAAACAAAAAGTGTTTTTGTAAATGTTCTCTAGAATCATTCAGTCAGCATATTTATGTTCTTTATATCTGGTTATGGATGCATTTTAAACACCTCTATAATGTACATCACCGATCAGTGGTTTGTCAGGAGTCATCCTCTCATTCAATGTTTTGTTTTCATATGTTTACTACTTTCTATATTTTATTTAATTTTATAACATAATCCTCAACATAGCCACCCTTTGCTTTGTCAAAAAATATTATTTTTGTAATGATAATTCCACATATGTTGCTTCATATATTTGATTTAGACTGGTAATGTATTTGTATAATACTGTGTAAATGAAAAAAAAAATAATAATAAAAAAAATTCTGGACTTCTGGTCAACTATTGAAATTATCATTAACTGCAGCCATACTCATATTGCCTTGATTTGTCTCTGGCATTATTTATCTACCTATACTTTCTCATTACCTCAGTTCAGACCTTCATCCCCTATGCACAATACAGTCAGTTACACAATGTGAGGATACATTGTCCATGATAAGAGATGAAGATGGAGTATTGTGCAATAGAGCTGTGCCCATGCTCACAGTTTGTATGTCCTGTGTGTGGTCAGCAGAGCCCTCCTGGATGTGGGACAGTGAATGGTTGGTGGCCGTCCTGTGCTGGGTCGCTTGAACCTGCTGACCCCTCCCAGATACAAGGGCTTCATGTGGCCAGTGTCCAATGCACTCTCTCAAAGACCCCCTTTCACCGCTGCGTGTTTGAGTTAGGAAGGAAGAGAAGATTTGTGGAAATTACAGTTACACTAATGATTTATGTACATCATTTTGTGCATAGTTAAGGTGTTTACTACACTATTCCAAATTTCCATAAGCTGAAAACTGGTTTAGTTTAGTAGGACAACGAGTCAGATATGACAATGCTTTGATGTGTGATGTATGCTGTATGGTGAGGAGCAGTGAACCCTAACATTCATGAATAGAGATTTTGGCCATAAACCAGGAGTACAGTAGCAGCAGTGTATGAAAGAGCATGAAACATGGTGTTCAAACGCTATGAGGAGAGAGAGCTCAAAAACAGAGATTCACACAAGCTTTTTGTCTATACCATGTTCAAGTGTGTAGCTGAACCAGGTTTAAGGCAGAACTTACTGAGCAGTTTATAATGAAAAACAAAATGACGAGTTTGAGTGAGGTTTTTTTTTTTAATTAGAGAGTTGACAATATTATACTAAACCATATATTATGCTATCTTAATATGTTAAAAAATGAATGTTATTGCCCGTGGACTTGTTTATTTATAATCCTATTCTATAATGCTTTTATAATATTATTAAAATTGCAAATCTAATCAAATCAAATCTTTTTCCAAACTTGTGTAGCACTTTATAAAATATGGTTTACACTTACATGTGTTGGCTGGAGTAGTTGTAAATTTAAATGTTTGTGCATTTTTAGCAGTGGAAGCTAAGTAAATATAATTCCTGTTGTTCAACTGCTAACATAGAAAAAGGTGATGGTGCTGCATGAGGTCAGCGTTGCCTGCAAATGAACTCAGATGCCCTGTCTGAGCCCCGGGCCAGGTCTATGGGTCAGGTTGTGAAAGATGGAGGGGGTCCAGCTGGACCTTTATGTCCCCGGGGGCAATGCTGGGGGGGTCCTAAAAGGTCCAAGGGGTCTAAAGGTGCACTCAGGGGGGCAGCAGGAGTGGGCCGAGGGGGCACATGTGACCGGGTGCAAAAGTCCAGCCTGTGACCAGTGGGTGGAGCACTGCTGGTATGACTGACCATCTGGATTAGATTGTAGACATTCCTGGAGAAGATTGTGTGAGTAAAGGTCAGAATGGAAAAAGAGGAGGGGGTCACCAATCTCAGCGTGTGCATGTTTATTTTTCCCTCGCTGACTCTGTGTTGCAGTTTACGATTGTGGTCAGTTTACCATTGTTGGACAGTTCTTGGGAGGCAGAGGAATGCGGGGCTTACACAACGCTCACATGGGAAATATTGCAGGTGTAGGAATCCCCTGCTGAGCTCTTTTACATTCAACCGCAGTATTTCATAAGGAAACGCCGCTTCCAGGCCTGTCTGACTGTACCCCTCTGTGACTGTTGTTTGTACAGGTGGGAGGTCCCCGGGCTGTGGTCATGCTGTCCCTGGATGAGCCCCTGGACTTGAAGCTGCCTCGACGGGCTGGTGGGAGAGACAGGGGTGCCAGGTCGCCCCCTCTCTCCAATTCACCCCAAACGCGCCCGCCAACTGCACATGACCGATGACGGCACTGCTATCATTGAGCCTGCATCTCCACCTTCTCCACATAATGGTATGACACACAAGCTACAGTGTATGATGCTAAACTAGAGGTGGACTATATATTGAAATATTACTAATATTGTTAATGTTGTTTGTTTTGAATATTTGCAGATCTGAAATACTGAATATATTGTATTTTGTATAATAGAAAACTATCCCAAAACAACAACGAAAGTGGTGTAAACTTAAAAAAAAAAAAGATATATAAATGATATTTCTGCACTAGTCATTTTACATTTGTCTGATTCTTAAACCTCATCTAATACATTAAAAAACATGCTTTAGCACATTTCTGTTGGACAGTCCAAATATTGGGTTAAAATATTGATATATATATTTTATCAATATCACCCCTATGCTAAACTGACTATGAAACCAATGTATAATGTTCCTGTTTTGAAAGCATACATGAATTCTTTGCCCGCATATGGCCCACATTGAAATATGTTACATATGTTTACGATTTAGTGCTGAAATTGTTTTTACTTTAGCTCTAATGACATTACTTCTTCTTTGTTTATACTGCGCAAGCCTCATCTTTGTGCCCTCTGCTGGTGTTTAGTGCACAGATATTTTAAGATAGTACCTATTAGCATAGCAAAGACTACATATCAAGACACAATATCAGACAAATGTGAACAACTCCCAGTGTGTTTGTGTGTTAGGTGTGCAGGTGGTACCTCAGGACCGAACGGAGACCCCCACCCCCCCTGCAGTGGACCTCAGCATGTCCCCCTCCTCACGCCACACCCCCAGCTCCCCAGAAACATCCAATGGCTACGTCCCCTCAGGGGTAAGTAGTACAAATAAGTTTCACGTGCATTTGTACTTTGATATGTGCTAACACAGATCTGGCTTTCAAGTGGTGGGTGGGTAAGTGGTCAGAAGAAGATTTCACAATATCCAGCCAAAAATCCAGCCATGATGCTATATGCCAAGCCAAGCCATCTGGTGATCTGTCCTACAAATTGTGCCATCCCTATAGGAGCCTAAAGGATGTCTCAGTGTAGTACACTAGACCTAATTCCTTAATACAAATACATATTCCCTGCAAATAAATGTTAAATATAAAAAAAAGCTTTGGGAAAGCAGTGGCTAAGTGGACAGAGGATAATCTCAGCTCCAACTAGGAAGATGGGCGATACTCATGAAAATGAATCTCCAGAGAACAGTAATAGAAGATATTTCCATCTAAAACATGGCTTCAAATGTGTATTAGAGTATCAGACAAATGTGAAAGAACATTGCAGACATATCACATTATAGCTTTGTTTGATTACAATATTTATTTTTAATCTGCTATTTTTTCCACATTTTGTGATTCAAATCTACATATATTTATGATATGATAATTTTATATATTGTCTAATGATGTTATTAAACAATACACTGATGTTGGTGATTGGTGATGGTCCGAGGGTCACTTCTGTTTGTTTACACCAAAGCAACTGGCTATAAATGTAGCTTTATCATCTGTAGAGTGAATGGATAATGCTATGTAAAGTGTCTTTAAATGTCTAAAGAGCAATATAGATCAATTGCAGGCTTTATTATGAAATTTTGAAGCACAATATATTGCTACAGACAAATATTGAGATATTTATTGTTGCAGCTTAGGCACTGCATGTTTAAAAATATCACTAAGAGAATGAACCAATAATTACTCATAGAAGTGACTTTTTTGTTCCCCAAAATGTATTGTACTAGCTTTCATATATTGAACGTTAAGTTGATATAGTAATTATCATGACAGGCCTTTTACAAAATCTTAAAGGGCCTGTATAAATGTACAATGCTAATCTCATCAGCCCTGAAAAACAAAAGCATATTTTTATACATTTATAGCACTGAAATGTCTGGGCTTTTCCTTTCAGTGTGTGGCACCCTTTATTTGCAGACTGACTTAGTGACGGGACTAGTAGATAAACAACAGCTATGTGTCCGTCTATGAGGAAATCAGACTATCCCATTAGCTTGTGACAGAGCAGGGTGTTGGGCCTCCTCTTATCAAGCACCTCCTGTGTCTCCTGTGCATGTTCTGTGTGGCCTCGCTGGCATGACGTGTGTGCGCTTCTCAGTGTGTACACGCGTAATCCGATTTGAGACAAGGTACAGCCATGCAGACCTCACGCTGCCTAATTCAATTCATTCCCAATTGAATTCAGTGGCCCTGGCTGGAACCATTCAGCGAACTTGGTGCCCCCCCAGCATATACAAGACAATGGCCTGCACAGTTTTCATGTTATGTATGGAATGGGTAGAACTACTGCTATTATGTGGATCATCCAGCATTTCTTGTAGTTACGGTAGACCTCACGTGTTTCTGTAGCCTAAAGCTGTTCACATAGTTTTGCATGCACAGACATAGCAGGGAATCGGTCTCATTTAAAGCAATTAGTTACATTCATATTTTCTATCTTTCTATACACTCACCAGTGTATCTGAATCTATGAGGACACAGTATGGGAGATAGCATGGGACTGTGGGCTTTTGAGACTGGGTGTGCCAGAGTGTGGTATATTAGCCCTTTGAGCTCCTGCTGAGGTTCAATGAATTTTACAGCTCCCATACCAAGCTCAGGGATGTAGTGAGCTTTGGAGGAGTGTGGTGGGTGTCTTCAAAGTAAAAGTGAGGTTTAGAAAGAGAGAAAGTAAAGATGTGAACTTCATACATAGTTGATGGAAGCTACAGGCTAAATATAATGACCACTGTGAAGGTGGAAATGCATGTAGATTAGCCATTTATCATTGAACAAGTTTGACAAATGAATTGATCTTTTTTAACTTTCAAATGTCTTTGTAATCCCCTCATTCATCTAGGTAGGATCCATAGCAAAAGAAATTCAGTTCTTCAACTGGATGGACTTCTGTCATAACTTATTAGTTCTGTCATAACTTATTTGTAAAAAAAAAAAAAAAAAAAGTTGTTATTAAAAATGTTATTATCACAAATTATAATATTAAGTTTTTTAAAATATCATTCTTTCATTTTATCCCATTATTTTAGGATATAGTGTAGACATTATACCACATTTCCTCTTCTCATTTTCCCAGAATTCCCTCTCACAGGCCTTTCAGTTCTTTGTGCCAATTGGAGCTGGGACAGGGCTTCACCTGCCATCCTCCATGTTTATGAGCCAGAGTGACAAAAGAGCGTCTCCAGACCTCTCAGCAGACGAACAGCTGGCCTGCCGCTGGAAGAAGGTATGTTACAATGATACACATGGAGAACCTAATGTACTCTACTTGTATCATTACCATCATTTAAAGTTGTGCATTATCTTGTCTTTGACAGTGCCATCACCTCTTTGACTCTCTGCAAGACCTAGTGGACCATGTAAACGACTTTCACGTCAAACCTGAAAAGGATTCTGGGTATTGTTGCCACTGGGAGGGCTGTGCACGTAAAGGGAGAGGGTTCAATGCCAGGTGAGTAGGTATACAGCTTGAGCATAGTATGTAATACACTCATTTGGTTTATACACTGGGATACAAAATGTTGTTGATGAAAAACAAATTTCAGTTTAGATGATAGCAAACTAATATCATGTGGGTTTGTGAGTAGACTGTAGGTAGACTTTTTAGCAACTACTGTAAACTAACAAGCATCTAAGAAATACTCTTGAGTTGAGTTTTAAAAGATACTGAGATATTATTGCTGAGGTATATAGTATCTAGTAAACTGTGAACTTAGCCTAAAATCAGTCACTGCTTTTTTTGTTTGTTTGTTTTTTATATGCCTTAGAGTCACTGTTTTTATTTATATGGTTTAAGGTACAAGATGCTTATCCACATCCGCACTCACACAAATGAGAAGCCCCACCGTTGTCCCACTTGCAACAAGAGCTTTTCTCGTCTGGAGAACCTGAAGATCCACAACCGCTCCCACACAGGTCAGCAATGGGCCCCACTCAAATGCTTTAGTGACAAATATAATACTCAGTGTTAAACACTGTAGTGCCAGGATGGTATGACCGTATGTTGTTAGAAGAGCTATTGAGCATTGTGGTTTTTAACCAAACTTGTTGTATCCACAGGTGAGAAGCCGTATATTTGTCCATACGAGGGCTGTAACAAGCGTTACTCAAACTCCAGCGACCGCTTCAAACACACACGCACTCACTATGTGGATAAGCCCTACTACTGCAAGATGGTGGGCTGCCTGAAGCGCTACACTGACCCCAGCTCCCTCCGCAAGCACATCAAAGCCCATGGTCACTTTGTGGCCCAGGAGCATGGCTCTCCAGGTGGGGTCGGCTCACTGCTGAAGGGTCCGCCTGCAGGGCTCACCAATGGAGGAGGCAAGGACTCAGAAATGTCCTACGTGAGTGGGGCCCACATTATCATTCCTAGTGCTGCAGCTGCTCTTTTGGGAAGCCACGCTCTGCAGAGTCTGGGGGGCTCTTTGCCTCTGTCCCCCCTCAGCCCCCGTCCCCTGGACCTCAGCTCACTGGGATGCCCAGGGTCTCCACCAGGTTCCATTTTGTCTTTTAATGGCTCCCACCTGGGCCTGGCTAAGTCTCCTCTGCTCTCCTCGACTTTCCCCTCTGCCGCCCTGGGCCTGCCCATGATGCCAGTGCTGGGAGCCGCGTCTGAGCGCAGAATTCACTCCATCAAGAAGGGCCGCATGGAGGAAGTGGAGCCCGAGGTGACTGGGGGGGCCCTGAATCTCTCCACTGGAGGTTCTCATGATCCCCTGTCCTGGGTGGTCATACCCCCAGGCACTGTGGTGCTGAAGCCAGCTGTGGTTAACTGATACACTCACACATTCCTGAAGAGCTCAGGGGGTCCGGGGGGAGGGAGGGGCACACAGCGGCGAGGGTACGGGTGGTCAAAGGTGAAAGGGATCGGCTCGCACAATCAAACTTAAGCAATGCATTCAGAGGAGATGGGAACGGGAGACAAACTTCCTCCAATAACACTACACCTCACATGACATCAACGCAAGCCTCGTTTGGATGGGAATCTGAGGCCCAAGAACTGTCCAGTAACACGTACATCTGTATCACTGATACAGACTTCACTTATGTTATACATTCCTGTGTCTGTATTTTTCTTGTGCTCTGTGTTCTTCTAAAAGTCCAGTTTGATTGACACATATTTAAATATTCACCTCATCGACATTGTGCCTATCACTTCACAGTGAGAAAGAGACACGAAACTGAATGACGCACTCACTGTGAGGTAAAAGTGCATCCACCACAGACTTTCACAGCTGATTTATGAAGCTATGACCCATTTTCACAGGCTGATGTGATTAATGTAATTCAGACAGACTTGCTGTGCGAGGCAAGTGAACTCAAACTGTCTCTGTGCAGGGTTTGTGCTGGATAAGCTGGATATGTCAGCTTTAGAGCAGGGCCCTTCTCAGAGACAGATCTGTTAAATACAGCACTTACTTGTGTCATACGGTTATACTGTCGCACAGTAACCTCAGAACTGCTGCTAACCTCTCAGCTCCCTCAATGTATTTGTAGAGAGCATTTCTGACAATCTCACCCCATTTGGGGAAGCAAAAACAAGGACCAGCCCATTAGACCAGACTGTTGGACATGCAGACAATGGGCTTTTAGGACACAGAGCAGTATAAGTGACTTCAATAGACAAGTGGTGTTTCATCACCTGACAATGACCAATACTTTTAATTATGACATGTTTTTACACAAATTAAATGGTAAGACGTTGATGTATCTGGCTCCCCCTTCTGGTAAGGCACAGTGCACAACATCTTGCTAGCACGCTGGCTGTTTGCAGTCAGATTGTCCAGCTGCTTTCTCGTAAATTGAATCAACACTGCCAGTTGGTCTATGAAAAGAGCACTGTGGCGATAAACACTGAAGTCGTGTGTTATGAAGTGAGCCGACCCAAAACCAGCTGTGCTAAACAGGTGGTGATCCAGTCAAGGCCAAACCAGCCTTTATTGGTGCAAATGGTGTCCCAGGTTCAACAAGTGCCACAGTGAGGTTAGACCATCAGCAGCAGACAGGGAGAGCGAGGGCTGTGCACTGTGCCAGTGTGGAGGATACAGATAATGCCACACACAGCTGGACTGCCTATAAAGCCACACTGTTTTAAACTGCCTCAATACCCTGTCCACAGTGGCTTCTCTAAAGAAACTCTTTGACTTGTGGGAAAACTTTCTCCTGATTCCATTTTGCAGTCGAGTCGCACTTAACATAAACTATATCCTTTACATGTTATATGAAATATGTTACTGCCAACAGCCATTATTTTCAGCTGTACTTAGCTGCAGGGTTCAGTCTAAAATGGGTTAAATGGCCACACTGTTGACTGCTGCCTCAGCTGAGGAAGGTAGAGGGTGAGGATAGGATTTACGCAACAAAAGGAGTTCCTTAAAGTTTTCTGCCAACGCTCCTCACCTCTGCATCTCTGTTTGCCATGCAGTTCTCAGTTATGGTTTCATGTTTGTCATTATTTTTATTTAGTTCTGACGAGACATTTTTTCTGATGTTGAAGTTGCTTCTTGTCTGTAATGCAATGGCTGCTCTGCATTCAGCTTTCTGCTGCCACGGCTGAGTCTTAAAAGGGGTTGATGTGAGGCAGAAAAAAAAACAGGATTTGGGTTTGCTTCTAGGGTACTTGTTCCCAATTTGGGCTGGACTGAAATCTAGGTCACAACATGATGTGATAGAGTAGGAAATGTGTACAGTTTACTGGCATCTATTTATCATCGAGAGGTTCAGTATTTCAAAAGTATAACCTTTTAAAGGGTCTGTGTCATTATTATATGCCCGGTTTAATATTGTGATCTAAAAAAAAAAATTTCATGATCTCAATCTCACACTAATCTATTTTTTGCAAGTTAGTATTAGTATAAATAAGATTTGTTATGTTCTGTAGTTCCCATTTAGTCAAATACAATTGCATTTTGGAATTTCTTCTGATGTTGTTCTGATACTGTTGAACTGGTGGCTGTGCTACAAGGACATTAAGAAGAAAATCCGGAATATACATTATAAGCCAACAAAGCAGTGCCAGACAGCCTCCTCTTGTCTTTTCACTTCTGCAGCTTTAGTGGCCAGTAGAACATTCCCTTTCAGTCACACTAGCTTTTACAATATAATCTGTGCCACTGAACTCTGTCCACCCTCTGTTTTAACCTTTTTATAGTTTAAGCCCAAAGGATCAACACATTTTGGCCACTAGGCTTTTAACACAGATGAGGAAAACAGGCATCCACTAGCAAATAAATAACAAACACATTTGTCTGATGATGTACCTCCTATTCCCCTATAACGGTGAGAGGCTTCAGTCATCACGTATGTTAATTTTAAGCAGCTCGTATCATTACAGATTTCCAGGTGGGATGTCATCAGACATTGAAATGGTTACCATGGAAACCATTCAACCCAGATGCTGTGGACTTGATGGTGTCCTCTGCTGGACTAAGACTCAGTGAGGCAGTAGAAAGCTGACATTGACAAGGATCCGACCAGGGTCCATATTGTTTCCATATTCAATAAGCTGTATCCTCTATTAACCCTTTGAGCTCGGTCTGTAATGAAACTGCACTTTCTCTCTTTTAGCTATAGACAAGAGTATGCCGTTACATTATTTGGCAGCATACAGCCATCAATCATTTTAGGAACCAAGTGTATTTGTAACAATCAGAATTTGAAATTGTATTTGTAAATTGTAAAGTGGTACTTGCTTCTGGATAAGCTAATTTAATGCTATTAAAATTTCCAGGGCATAAATATGTTGCTATCAGAGGTGCCACAATGTTGCACAAAGGGTTAATGTTAAGACAAAGGCCATGCAAGGCCTGTTTCGAGTTATGTTTTTGCACATTTGTGAGATATTATGTCAGTATTTTAATTTTTCAAAGTGCCTTTTTATTATTATAGGGTAAACTACCGAATACACTTTACAAAAATGATGTTATAAAAATATATTTTTCCTTGGCATCATGTTCCATGGTTGAACATGCAGAATTTTAGAGTTGTAAAGTCTCCAATTGGTACAACATAGCTGTGTTCTCCTGTTTTAGAGGAATTTTATTACGATATTGATAATAATGTCAATGAAAAGAACAATCTTTAATAAAGTTGCATTTGATAACATTTTTGTGTTTATTTTACACCATAGCTCCGGTTCTGTGAATGTGAATTTCTGCTAATGCAAATAATTGAAATGAAAACAAATTAAAGAAAAGGTAGGCTTTTTATTAGGACATAATTTACAGAGGAGGGGGAGAGGACAATTGGGGGGTTTCATTCATACTTCATGTTTCTGTGTTCTGCTGTGACTTCTGTGTTTGCTCGGACTGTATCCTTAATTCTTCATCTAGTCGCTCTTTGGCTCGAACCACCTCAAAACAACAAAGAAGAAAATTAGCACTTGTATGTACTTTTTACATCTATGAGCAAATAGCACTGACAGGTGTTGCATTTTATTCAGCAGATCATAAGACCATTATGTGGCCGCAATTAACAGTATAGAAAAACAAACATTAACAACATTAAATACTGAAAGCACAGCAAAGGTCATTGAGGTACTTACTTTTGACTGAAGGTAAAAAGAACCACCAACTGACTTGTCATTAGCTTTAAAAAGGTGCTCATAATTCTGAAAAGGACAATTATACATTTTAAAACAAACACAAGAATTAACAATTAAGCATTTAGTCAGGTGAGAATGCAAGTACCCTCCACTACTATTGGCACTAAAGACAAATTTCAGCAAAGTGGGCTGTTAAAAATTGTTCTTGTTGCTTTGTTAAAATAATAAGCAAACTGGCAAAAAAAACCCTGTTATTTTAGCTTAAATATTGCATCATCTTATACACTTAATTTGTGCCAAAAATATCACAATATTGGCACAATATTAAGGGAAAAGTCAATACAGTGTATTTACAGTAAATGTGAACATCTTTAAAACAATGTTTAGGATCAGTGATCATCGCCTGACACTAAGTTTAAGTCGTGAGGGCAGCAAGTTCCTACTTTTGAGCCTACACTTTAGAAACTCGTATGAATTTTGATAATGTCAAACTACCTTTAAACATAAACCCAATACACCAAAAGCTTCAGCACGCTACACAAAAGCAACAGCTACAGTGTAGAATGCACATGAACAAATAACAAAAATTTGACCGAAATATGGATTTGAGTCAAGTAGCCTACAAGTTTCTGAGCCCAAAGAAAAATGTCTGTCCCAAAATCAACTTCTGTAATCAGGACTTTTAAACATAATGACCATATAAGCCAGTAACAGGACGTTTGCCTCACCCCAATCTGCACAAGACTAGTTTCAGTGAGCACATAAGTTTAACATTACACAAATATCATCATATATAATAAATTTGACCAGGGCGCCAATAAGAATGTAAGGCACGTGCATTGTTCATTGAGTGGTCTGCACCTTCTGGATCTCCTCAGGGGTCAATGTGCTGATGTTGAGAATTTGCTGGGCCTCTTGTAGAGACATCCCCGTGATACTGGAGGCTGCTGCAGACTGCTGTCCCGCCGTGCTCCTGGCGCGTGCTGCTGCTTGACTGGCTGTAAGGCAAATAATAACAACAAGATAAGCACAAGGCCAATTAATATTAACACCAAATTAATGCAACCAGAAATTAATAATGAGGAGAAAGAGGGTACCAGCAAATTCTTGTTGTAAGGCACGGGCAAATGCGCGTCCTACTACCTGCACACCCATGACAATGATCTGTGCCAGGTATTTAGCCTATAAAGAAAACAGACATCTTCATTAAGACCAATTACATCAGCAGTGCAGACAACACAGGCCGTGAACGTGACCTCCTTCCTCTGACAATCATCCATCAGCAGGTCTTGCGTAATGCGACCTTGGCCACTGAAGACAACACTATCCCCAAATCTCCAGCTTTATTTTACTCATTATGCTGTATCAAATAACACAACAATTCATCAGACTACAGCTTACATAAGTCCACACCATACAAAAACCGTCTATGATAAAACAGCAATGCGGAAAATAAGTGTGCCGCTAAAACTACGTACTGTCCGGTCTTGGTAAATGTATAAGAAAGACATCTCACTGAATGTAAATATTCTTACCATGTTGATGTGCCTGTACAGTTCACACGGACTGTCCCGTGGATGTTTTCACATGGACGCTCTGGAAGGTGACTGAGAGGTCAAAGTTCAATGCAGATCTGAAATCAAGAAGAGCACAGGGAGGAGAACTATGCGATACTGACACCTAGCGGTAGGGAGGATCCACTAGATTAACTTTGTCAAGAAATGTGAAAAAAAAAAAGCCTCATAATATAATAAAGTGATTAAAAATTGTTTTATTCCAGTATAATAAGTAAAACAAGCACATTGTAAAATAATTTTAAACCACAAATTCCAGTTAAAATCCAATAAACACCACCATATTGCAATTTAGAATCACAAGAACAGACATCAAACATCCACCTGCACTTTGTGTAAACATGACGTGCATGATTGTGCATGGCCACATTTAGGGTCAGTTTTACAGTACAATGCCATTTGGTTAATGCCTGGGAGAGTGACTTGAGGTGGAGTGTGGAATGGAGTCGCCATTGATACTGACCATCTACAATTACATTACAAAACCATAAAACTAAAATTATTCTACAGCAAAATGTTATCAAAGCATAACAAATCACAATCATTTACCTCTAAAGGCCTCTAAAACACCATTGTATTTTAATCAATATCTATTTGAATAGTAGAAAATATAAAAAAGAGAAACACTGTAATGTATCTAAAAATGGCAGAAACATGTAACTTTATGGCAGTTCGTGGAAAACATAAAGAACCCTGTTGTATTCTCAGTGTAGTTTTTGCATTACAGCAGTTCAGGAGAGAGTGTGTGCCCTGTGTAACTGAATAGGAAGACAGATTTCATTATGTGTGTTGTCCTCCCTGTACTGGCCTTTATGTACAGACGTAATTTCAAGACACATGTGGGTCATCAGGTAGCATGTGCAAAGGCCTGTCAAGACAATAGGCAAGTGATTCATGCAAGTCTCAGAGATTATAAAAGGCATACTCAAATGTAGTTACCGTGGGTCCTGATTTACAACGTATTCATAAAAAACGTTTTTTATAACACATACATACGTAAGACACTCATTTTTTCATTACATTGTTCAAAGTGTGGAAAATGATTTGTGCTTTCTTGATATTCAAAAGACAATGAACCACTAAAATTACGATTCACATAAAACAGGTTTTTCCCAACTATTACAAATGTGTCACCCAAAGATTACTTCCAGTTTCATGCAATCTGACGACAAGGTAAACATTGTTTTTCTCATATCAAAACATATGCACGATTACATCCAAAGGATCCCTGCTGTGATAGTGGAGATTCACATTGTACAGTATTTTCCCATGTGCAGGTATTTGACACGTAATTGACATTTTGGTGGAACAGCCTCTAGACAAGTGGCAACATTAGACTTGGCCTCTCCAGTTGGCACCAATGCAAAAAGGCAAAGACATTTCTCATCTAGTCATCCTAAAAAAACAAAACAAATGCATTTAGCACACACTGAATATTCAAGTATTAATGATATACAGGGTGACCACCTCAATTTGTAGAAAAAAGAGAGGCACATGTGGTGGTACACGGAGGGACAGACTCGGGAAATTTCAGTTCAAGCATACACACATACAGTGATGGGAAGAATACTTTGAAAATGTATTTAGTTATAAAATACTAAATACCTGCATTATGTACTTGTAACTCATGTACTTGTGTGTATTAATTGCAAAGGTGTTTTGTAACGTATTCTGATATATGGTTCAGTCAGAGTAGTGTATTCTGAATACTCTGAATACTTTCACACAGGATTGCATTTAAGTTATAGTGTAAAGACGCAACAAAGGATTAAAACAGCGTTACATTTGTTTCACTGTTTATTATGCATTTATTTATCACTGATCAGAGAAGGAAAAATCACACTTACACACATCACAAAGGCAGTGTTTTATATTTTTCTCACTGATTACGTGCAGTTTGAAGCCATGTATTCCTTTGATTTTTAGAAATGTAAGTATATTCTGCATAACACCAAATGAAAAAGCAACTGAACAGAAATACAGTTACACAAAATTTTTATTCTGAACTCAGCACAGGAACAAGTGGTGGTCACCCTAATGATATGAGTCTAATCATAACAGTTCACTCACCCACTCATCATCATCAACTCCTTCGAAAGCTTCCTGGGGCAGAGGGTCATCCAAGTTTCCGAGTTTAGCCACCATAGCACTGAGCAACTAGTTTGTACACAAAAAATAAAGTACATAAGTTTAATTAAGATAAATGTTTACACAATAGCATGAAAAATACACAGGCATACCTCCTCTTTCTTTTGCTCATCACTTTTCTCCTCCAGGTAATATGAAGAGGGCATGTATTTCCTCACTGGTGCCTCTTTGGGAGCTTCACTCACTAAAGATTGCATCATGAAAAGGCAGATATTATTTCAGGTGTATGTGCAACAAAAGCAAGCAAAGAGCATTAAATAAAGGACTAATACACTAAAGGAAGGGAAGGAAAAGTAGAAGAAATAGCAGTCGTTAGTAGGGGTGTAACAATATAAGAGTCTCACAATACGATATTGTCATGGTATGAACCTTACGGTACGATGTTTATTGCGATTTCGTGGGGAAGCTCCTGATATGGCTGTGAGGCTCACGATATTACGATATTATACATAATAACAAGACTAACATTATAAAATGTTTGACCAGTCATTTGGTACAACATTTATTATCATATTCTAGGGATGTATCAATATCCAAATCTCACAGTACAATATTATCACTATATGCATCTCACGGTATGATATTTATTGTGACATTCTGAAGAGGCTAATATAATTGTAGATGGAACACTTTTATGCTTTTAAAATACCTTGACAAGATTTTGGTGTGAATTATTACAGTCATAATCCCAAGAATTCAAGTAAAAAACATATTTATTCATGTTGTCTGCACTGAAATGAATCATGGGATATGTAGTTCTCTATGTTTATAAGATGTTGCTACTGTAAAGAAACAAAGAAACTTGTGATTTGATATATTGTGACAGCACATGATATTATTGTGTGACTTTTGACAATACGATATCACGATATTTCGATTATTGTTACATTCCTAGTAGTTAATATGTATTTTATTAGAGAGTATGCATATAATCTTATTTCAGAATATCCAGTATATATATATTTATTAGTAAGGAATATTTAATTATTAGTAAGTCATATTTAAAACATATTAATATAAACTATATTAAAGCAACTTTTATCATGTATATTTATCCACACATTTTACATACATTCATATTGTTTATTACAGCACCTGGAGTCATGTCTTTAGGCTTCAGGCTCATCCTCTTGTGTTGACTGTTGATGCCAGAGAGCCAAGCAGACCCTGTCAGAGCTGGTTCCCAACAAATAGCAGTATCTGGGTACACATCATCTTGGAAAAATTCTTTCTGGATGAACATCACAAGCACAACTACAGATTAAAGACATGTACAAATGCAATATAATATCATCCAGCAGGTGGCGTAACTGTTTCACCTTCACCCGTGGGACTTTGAAGGCAACAGGTTCTATGGTGGTCTTGGTGAGCATCATCGCCACTGCTATCTCCACCTCCTGGACATTGCATGCAGTCTTGGGCAAAAACGCAAAGCCCTGTTCACAAAATATGTGTTCAGTTTTTATTGCTTCATCAAAAAGACATGAGAAGATAAGGACAAGTAGTAGAAGTAGTAATAATAATGATAGTAGTAGTAGTAGTAGTAGTAGTAGTAGTAATAGTAGTAGTAGTAGTAGTAGTAGTAACCTTGTGAGGCTCAGGAGTGTTGAAGTTGCTACACTCAATGAAATATGGATTTTCAGGAACAAGCTCATAAATGTGAACTCGAGTGTCACCCTGAAGAAAAAAAAAACAGTAATTACTTACTATTTATAAACCAAAACAAAAATGATAATAGACAAAAGTAAAATTCAGCTTAAAAGACTGAAATGAGTGGCCTTACTTTTCCAGTGAGGATGACCACGCTGGTGTCGGGGTCATAAAATGGGATGAGAGTTGAGGGAGCGACGTCCACATACACTTTACTCACAGCTCCAGACGACAGAGAATCAGCTGAGTACAAGTACAGACCTCTCTCACTTTGACTGAAGAAAAACAAAATAGCCATCTAAAATAAATCAGCTCACATAGACAAGACTTAATATTAGCAACTTATACTCACATGTTAAATCCAGTTACCAGCAGATACTTGCCCTCACACACCCACACAATACGAGCCCCTCTGTGCCCTTCAGGACCAGGACCCTCCTAAATAAACATTGCATGAGTTTTGGTAGCAGCAGAAACAAGATAATTTCTACTTCTACTAGTTTATTTGAAAATAAAATGATATGTTATACTTTCTAATAAACCAGTTATGTATTTTTTAGCTGACAGAGAAAGGTTTAAAGGAAAAGAGAATCCTTCAAATATTAATGTGGGAATAAGTGTGCAATGATTGATAATTTATTAAATCAATAAATTTTAAAGGCATTCTAACAGACGAAGTTAAGTAAATGTAGACTGTGTAATCCCTCATTCGTCCAGGAGTGGTTCAATGGAGAGAATGTTTCAAAAGTGATCAACTGAACAATTAATTGAAATGGAAAATGACAAGCTGAAATATCTCGATAGCAAAAACAGTGTCCAGTTGAAAACAGTTGAAACCCTCCCTACAGTAAGTGAATATACATTTTCATCAAATTATGTTTTAATTAATCTAACAGCATTTAAAGCAAATAAATGTTGTGTTATAGACCTGCACAGGTGTAGCTGACTTGCGAGGGTCGTATATTCTAACTTTCCCATCTTTACAAACTGTAGCCAGAAGCTTGCCATCTGGACTCCACGCCATGCCAAACACCTGGATGTAAAACACAGGAAGGTATATTAATTATAAAATAAAGAATCAAAGGCAGACATAGTGAAAAACTCCATGAGGTAAAGATTTATCCAGATGTGTGGTGTCAGGGCGATATTCAGCACCCACCTGATCCTCGTGTCCAGACAGGACTTTGACTTCATCTCCACTTTCCAAGTTCCACAGTCTCACCGTGAGATCATAGGACGAGGACACCAGCAGCCCACTGGCCAGAGGGTGAAACTTGATGGAATAAATCTTCTCCGTGTGGCCTAACAAGAAAATAATAAAATCAAAACGAATTTATGGAAATCTGTAATGTGACAGCAAAGCAGTTTCCAGGGCTTGCATCACTATTTTTGTTATACCTTGAAGAATGAGCTCAGGTTCAGTCAGGGTCTCAACAAGGCCCGCCTCTGGTACCTGCCACAAACGGATTTTGGCGTCTTCTCCAGCTGTTGAAAAATATTTATTTGAGTATGTTGTGACTAAATAAAAGAAGTCAAAGTATATAAAAGTCCAAACTGAGAACAATGACCTACCAACAGCCAGGAGATGTGTGTTGAAGGGGTCCCAGCAGAGGTCTGCCACATTCACAGAGTTCTGGATGGTGGGCACATTTGTGTCTGGTTGTCTGCCAGGCTTAGAACGCTGTGGCAGTAAAAATTCGTAGTATATTTCGTAAATAGAATAATTGACATTACAAATATTTCATCATTTACTTATATTTGGATTTCTATAAATGGTTTACCAGATAATACGATTTGAAAAAGATCAGTGGGTTTCTTTAAAAGTATTATAAATAAATCAGTATTATTATTATTCTCATACACTATTAACCGTTTAACTCTCACATTCATTGGGTATTAAACTTGTTATAAGAGCCAAACAGGCATAAAACAAAGTGACACAGTATTTGGACTGACCATGTAAACAACTTACCTCAAAGACACCAATCTGCCCTCCAGAGGTGGCCAGAGGAACAGCCACAAGTTTGTTGTTGACGCAGAAGCCATCACACTCTCCAGGGGTGGTCAGGTTGAGTCCTCTGATGTTGGTGATGTGAGAGTCCCGGTGCATCACAGACCCCTGAATGTGACGGAACTTTGTACTGGGACCTGGACAAAGACCATTTAAAACAATGTCACGATTCAGAAATACTTGAATGACATTAATGAGCTGTTTATGCATACCAAGCAGGCTATGGATGGCCTTGGCGCTCTGGCTGGGACTAGGACTGGGGACAAAGCCAGAGGAGAGGCCCGAGGTGGAGGAGGGTGAGCGGGACGGAACTGCACTGCTACTGGGGGTGCTCAGAGGGCTACTGGAGGTGGAGCAACCACGCGCTGGATCCTGCCATTTAGTATAACAACAATAACTCCATATTTCATACTGGAAATTCTGTGTATAAACTTACAACAATGTGAATGTCTCTTACATCCTTGATTTTACTGCTGGCCACTTCCTTCTTTGCTGCCATCTGATTGGTTGTCTGAGTTTTAGGCCGTTTGTCTGGATTAAGGCTGACTTTTTCCACCTAACAAAAAATAGAACAATTCAGACATCTACTAACTAGACTAACTTCATGTATAAAAATGTCAGTGTACCTGCTTGTTTCCCCCTTGCCACCACTCATCAGCAGACATGGCAGCGGTTGTACCAACTGTATCTGGGTATAGATCTGAATGGAACTCGGTGCCTGAATTCTGGAGCACAAATGAAAACACAATGAGAATGGAAATTCATAGATAACATTAGTGACCATACATACAATAGTTTCAGACCTTACGAGGGACTTGATAGCTGATTGGCACTATGTTATTATCTGTAAGCTGAAGAACACGCATAACTTCACACGACATGACATCCAGTTCAAGTTTGGGCACCGTGCAAACGCCTCGAGTAGATGAATCGGTGAGGCAGTGGCTCACTACAAACAATAAGAAAGTATAAACAAAACAATGTCAACTGTAAAATGATCAGTTCAAAATGTCTCACTGAATGCTCCCTGGCCATTACCTTGAGTAAGCACAGGCTCAGAGGTAGAAACTTCAAAGCAGTCGATCACAGTGTCTCCCTGCAAAGCAAAAAAACAACATTAAAGTTTTAGTATTCAAAGAAGGTTTAAGCTTTAGTTACACCAAAAAGTTTATGATGCAATGACCTGAAATTAAACCATCAATATTTATAGAGAACAAAGAAATAAGAAAAAAATAAAATAAAACTTTCAGAAGGGTTATAAATATTAATTGTACCATGCCAGCCAGAATGAGAAGTCCAGTGTCGTCATCAAACAGCGGTATCAAAGTTCTAAAATACAAAATTGAACAAAAGACAGGTTAGATAACAAGAAACAGTTGATCTTTACAATAGAGCCAGTGTGATTTTAGATTGCAGTTCAACCCTTCGGCCACTAGATGGGGCAATATAACCAATCGAAGTGTGTCAGCGGGAGAGTTTTTTTTTGGGGGGGGGGTTTTGGTCAATTTTAGAAACAAGTCAAAGGTAGACAGTTGCGCGCACACACATATTTTGTAATTCTGAATTATTCCAATTCAAAGTCATACTTCTCTAAATAAGGGCATTCATAAGACAGAAATGTTTTTTAGTACACAGTTCACTGAGGACCTCACCTCTGGTATTAAAAATGGTCAGCTGAATATAATTTACTTGTATTATATTCATAAACTAATTAAATGATTGTCCTTTTGACCGCTACAGATCACCTGCACTCTCTTACATTTTGAATAAGAAGATTAAGAATAAACTACTCCGGCTCTAGGGACAAAGTACAAGTGGACGTATTGAAGCCAACAGGAAATCATAGCTTAAACTAATCCATGCAACTTTCCCTCATAATGTTACTATTTATCCAAGTCTTCCATGTTTTTTTCTCTGTTATCATTCTACATTTTTATTTTCCATGGTGAGAGAGGACGCCAAGTGTGGACAGGTCCCAGCCACGGCAAACCACTTCACATCACAGACTGAAGATAGGCCCATTGAAGTGGGAAGTGATCGCCTTATGATAATGACTTTGGGTAAAGAGACTATCCTTAAAAAGGCAATATGAAGTGAGAGAGACAGACCAGTGAGGTAATGCTCCAAGTATGACACTCTAATGACAGGCCAAGGTAAGTGACTACATATGGTCACACAAAAAATAGAACAACTATGTCTAAAATATTAAATTAACTAGTAGAATTTCACATCATGGACAAAGATATCTTTAGATGCATCAAAAAATCACAGAAATATTTTAATATCAATTGAGTCTTTTGTTGCATGGTTGGAAACTATTTGATGTCTTGGCTGCGTGCAGTGCTTTAAAATGCAACCAAATGCCAGTAATAGTACTGAGCTGTGAAATTTTTTGGTAAACAGGCTTGCCAAATGGAAATGATGTAGAAAATGAAAAGAAGAAGAAAAAGAAAATAGGACGTTTTCTTAGAAGGTTTCGGTCAAATTGATGGCTTTGACAGAAAGCAGACATCGGTCAAAAGTGCATCCAAGTTATTGCGGACTGTTTGTAAACTTTGTATTCTGGTCAATTAAACTGTGTGTTTTCCTATTCTGGAACTCAAGAAAAAAACAGTTGGTGACATAACAACAGTGAACACAGGGCTGTGGTTCGTTAGTCATTTAGTCAAAGGTTCCTTAGTGGACCACATTTTAACATTAGTCGACAAGCTTTTTTATTAAGATTAAGATTTATATGCTCAGTAGCAGAGAGGAGAAATCACAGGGTAGGTGGAGTTTTAACAAGGACTCAACAGTTTGATCCTTAAACCTTTTAACTTGTGAAGATGTCTTTAACTACTAGTGTTGTCACAATACAAACATTTCAAATTTGATTTTGATACTAAGGAAAAGACTCAATACTCAGTACTGATTCCAATACCACAATGATCATAAAACACTTTTTCTTTAGACAACAGAATGTGATTTTCAACATTTAATCATAGTATCATCTTTTATATTACCGTGCGGTTTTATGTCAGTGTAATCTCTCAGTTGTCCAGGTAGGTTGCATGCGGTCAATAAGTGTATACTAGTCTATGTGAACCTATTCTTTGCTGATAAGCTCAAAATCATTCTAAAGCTATTTAGAAAAGATTCATTTCTGCCCTGTGAATGTGACTTTTTGATATCGATACATGCTCAAATAAGTATCTCGTTCTGGTATTTCAGTTTTAGTATCGATTAGTATCTTATTTTAGATACTTTAGATAACCTTGCCTATTAGTACTACTCTGTATACTAACTGCTTTTTATGATAAAAAGAAATTAGAAAACTTTTGGCAAAGCCACACCCACTTTATTTGATCAAGAATTTCTTTAGTCGGCTATAGCCTCAATAGACACAATACTAAATATTTAAATAACTATTATGTTGGAGGAAAGATTATTATTTAGCTTTTGAGGTGATTCACTGATTTTATTGCATATTTTTACAAGTTAATGCATGGAACAAATTCAGTTTGAGCTACCCCTTGGTCAAGAGACTGTAGAAAAAGAAATTCTTAAACAAGAAGAGAGTTTTTTTTATGGTATTGCTCAAAATTGTGAGATACAATGTTCTACTGGAGCATTTATCCCTGAACTGAACCAAGTGTGTACTCTGAATCCTACCTACATCTGCGTACATTCATCCATTTTCATTTTCACTATTTGCTTGTGAGACACCAACAAACTTGACCTTTTCTTGTTTAGCCTTTTCATCCACTTTTGACTGGAGCTTGTGGAGTCAGCGAGGGGCAGCCATGCTTCATTAGGACCACTATGTGTTCCCATGTCCCGGGCTGTCTGCAGGGAGTCCCTAAACACATCCATTCCCACACTGCTCCTCCTTGTCCCTTTTCTATTCTCATTCACCACCTCTCTCTCTATTCCTCATTATTCCTCTAAATACACCCGGCTTCCTAAATGGCCTTATCTGTGCCTTTCTCACCGTAAATGAACAGCAAGTCAAACAGCCACATAATTGGACTGGGGGCTTTACCGCTGATAATGACCCATGTTTACTATGGTGTTCACGCACCGCCGCGTCGCACTCGGTTTTCCCACAATGCAACCTCGTACATGTGCTAATAATGCGGCTTAATGGTGTGTATGGGGCAACAACAGCCCCTGGTCAGGACCACGCAGGGTAAAGTGGGAGCTAGAGTTTAATATGCAGAGCTGCAACGTTTATGAATGAAATGGAAAAATGAGACAAGGCTCATTCAAAGCCTACAAGTCCAGTGCACACATGTATTCATTAGTGTGTTGTGTCTGTCTACCCCAATTAATTTGCTGCAGATACCAAACAATAAAGAATTTAAATGTTTTTATTTGTGTTTTAAAGTAAAATCACCTTATAGAGAATATGATATTTTGTTTAACACATGTAACGCTCAAAATGTAAAACATATTGTAGTTTACATCACTTATTATTAATAATAATCTATTTATTTTATTAGCACCTTTTCATATGCATTCTTTATTCACACCGCATAATTGTGAATTCCGAGTTTTAAAATGTCTGGAAAACATCTATATTTCATTTATTTTAAACATCCTATGTATATCACGCAAAACAAACAAATTAAGTTTTGTCTCATTCACACCTTTTATTATTAGTCTGTGTACATCTCCCAAAATGGTATGAAGCTGTAGTTTTCAGTTTAATAGCTACATTTCACTTTTAGTTTAGTAGAACTGGGCAATTCCAGTGTTGAAATATCCAAATTATCTGCTTCTAGTCAAGGTGTATGGAGTGTAACACAATGGAGCTCTTCCTGTAGAGAAGAACTCTAAATATGCAGGGTTTGTGTGTTCAGATGTGAGTGAAACAAAACGGAACACCAGGTATGTTTTTGATGAGGAAACAACATTATAACATAGATCTGACAACAGCGTAATATGGGCCCTTTAACGTCTATCCTTTTCCAAATGAACACTGTTATTTAAAGTGATAGACCCAAGTGCTAATTCTTGTATCACCTTCACCAATCCCATAATCCTGTGAAATGGTCCTCCCTGGACTGACTCTGTCTCTAGTGATTCTCTGTATCTGAGGTTACACAAAGCAGAGCCACACCTCACATCTGCCCTCCATCAGCACACACCCCTGCCACACACACACGCACACACACACACACACACACGCACACACACACCCCTGGTCTCATACACAGACACACTCCTTCTCTCATACACACATTCAGAACATCATGCACTGACCTTATACTTGACAGCCGCTCTCAGCACCAGCAGATAACACAGCAACATTACTACAGTAAGCATGTATGTTTGTCAGAGCAGTCAAGATAAACTCTGTTATTTTTGTACATGATAAATAGTAGTAAAATAATATAAAGGTTTCATAATGCCTCCATTTAGTCCTAAAATAGTGTAGAACAATATTATACTATTGTATATATTTTTATTACCATTTATATTGTTTATCTTATTGTTATTATATTATGTTGTTATGTGTGAGCTACTGTGTTCAAATAATTTCCCTTGTGGAAAATAAAGTTAAAAATAAAGTTTGTCTAAGTTTAAGTCTATACAACAATAAATCAAAATGTACTGTCAATAATTAAAATTCTCTCTTTCAAAGTGCATGCAAACTGACTGAATCACTGAAGACTGAATCACAACCTAGATTAAAATTTTATTAATTGCACTGATCTACTTAAAACCATTTTTATTAGTTACTTTGAAAAGTTCAAGAAGCAAACAATATAGTTATGGTCACAAGAAGATCTAATAATGAGATACACATTTCTAACTTAATGGACAGAGCATCTCAGGACTATAAGATTGCTTGTTTGATAACTATACTGCATGTTGAAAAGACACCAGGTTGGGAAAACTCCCATTTGCTTTACCTTACCATTAAAGATGATTCATGGACATTTTGAAAATCAATTCCACATGGTCAACCTGGACTAATTTGTGCTAAAAGCAAGACAAAATATGAACCTTGTGAGAGTGCATTATGAAGCACAGATAACATCGGACAGTGCAGCGCATTAAAGAGTATGAGATCTATGTGGGTCTAATGAAAGCAGCCTGCCAGGTATAAGGCTGTACTGTGGCAGCTATGACTAGATCTGTATCAGTCAATGGGACCTTTCTTTGTCTCTGTCTTTGGTGGTTCTAGTGCTAACAACACCCTGCACTGCTCAGTGGGTTACAGTCAACATCTATAGGAGCAGCTAAACATATGACAGGACTGACGTTCTGTGTTCAGATACACTTTTAACACAAAATAGGTGATATTTCCAATAAAAATAAAAACAACAACAACAACAAAAACA